ACGTTACCCGGAACTAACGCAGCTTGCGGACAAACAGACAAAAATCTTTAAATGCGATTTTTGTTAGCAACAACGCAAATACTTCATCTTCCCGAAATCTAGAATTATTATTTTGATACTACAAAAAGACACTCCAATTTTATTACATGTATGGATATAGAAGATAGATGAGAATAACATAGTTAAATGAATATAATAATCACGGTATACAAGTAGCGACGAAGGCGTCTAAAATTATCCAACTCGTGCTGGAGTGGTCGTTTTGTTATTATCCAAACAAGTGCGGTTCGCTGTTGACGCTGACTGCTTACTTTTAGCGAGATAATGAGTGCTCGGTTGTTTCCCGTGTGTTTTCATCGCCGTAACGTTTGCAAAAACCTAGTAATTAACATAAAGAAAACAAAGATAACAAGTTATTGTATAGAGATATAATTTGTGATAATTAACTTGTTAAAACTTTCATGATATTTAAGAGTTTAGAAAATTGTTTTTAGTTTAGAATAAAATCTGACTGATTATTTTCGATTTGTTAAGAACATAAAAAATATGTTATTTTAAATGTCATATTGAGTTATATTCGTAAATATTGTATGAAAATGTTATTGTTCAATTTCAACTTGGTACACTTAAAGTCATATTATTGTCAGTTCTGTAATGAACTTCTTGTGACCTTTCGTGAGAGTGTTCACGTAATAATTGTGATTTCTTGCCAACTGTGTCGAGTTATAGTATTTCATACGCGACAGTCATTTCTATTTATTGATTTGAACGACCTAGACTAAGTAGCCTTCATTTTTAAAACAAAACCTAATGATATTCATAAAAGATATAAAATTAGATAGAGAAGGTGTGAGATGGGGAAGACATTTAGATAACAGAGCAAGTATATGTTAAAAATAACTTGTTCTTAATTTTCATGTTATTTAAGTAACATAACTTTATTTTTTGGTACCAAATTAATTGCACAAGCAGAACGATTTACCTCAATATAAAACTTTCCGAGAAAGAGAACAAAAGAGGAATAAAAACAATTTATAACGGACAGTACGAGAATGTAGTTGAAGATATTGTCAACTGCATAATAAAGCAGATAAGAGCAACAAAAGAAAAATAAAGGCACTGACAGAAATAATCTTGAAACATGGCGGGACATTTATCATTTTGAATGAAACCAGAAGATTAATTTTTATTCAGCCTCTCATTTTTCATTCGTAACAATTGTTTTGAACTTTACTGTTCATCATTTTTTATATTTCTTTCACGACCTTGCTCGAAAGCTTACATTATATTATGCTTGTGTTTATAACAGTGTAATAAAACTGTATAATTTCGTGTTTATCGTCGAATGAAAATAATGATTGAATAATTAAATTTATTAGATTAGCGTGGTATGGACATAATGTTATGCGACGTGATGGGGATATATACCAGATAGTGTTAAGATTGATTGTGGATGGCTACAAAGGTAGAAAAAGACCGAAGAAATTATAGGTGGATTGTGTGAAAGAGGATATAAGAAGGGAGTGGATTCAGATATGACGACTGATAGAGATGTATGGAAGCACATACTGTGCCGACCCTCCGTAGGGAAAAGGGCAAGTTGATGGTGAATACTTTAATACTTTCGAATATTATAAAGCACGACATGATGTTTTATACAATATATTACGAGAAAAATCTCATTGCTTGCTACTCACTTTTTGTAATAAAATAATGCTTTAGTGAGCCATTTAATATTTTTATTTCTTTGTTTCCAGTCACTTATATCCTGGTCATTTTTTTGTTTAATGTTTTTAAGCTATATGCAAAACTGTTATCTTTATATCTCTAAATTGAACAACATAAAGGTTGAAAGGTTAAGTTTTTTTTATATTCACAAAGTAAATATAAAGAGTCAAAGAGAATACAAAAGGTGATATCTGAAACTTTGTTCCTGAAGTTGGTATCAAAGATGTTTAACAATGTCTCTTGTAACAATAGAACAATACAGCTCTGAGCCTACGAGCGATCTTCACTCTACCCTGTATTAATAATATACTGAAAAACCTTTAGAATATATAAAATGCTTTAAAAAAATAATTCGTGGAGTCTATGGTACTTGCAATATTCATTACTTTATCAGGTTTATTTGTATAACTAGCTGTTCCCGTGGGACTTCATCCGCATAAAATTAAGAAATGTATTGTTTACATGTGTCAAATTATCAATTGCAAATATCAAAATGACATGACAAATCTTGGCAATCTTGCTTCCTTGATGTTGGCAGCAACTTATGGTCTCTCCCCCACATTAGGGTTTTTCTACAAAATATTTACCCCCTAAGTTCAATTGCTTGAAAACATATAGCCTATAGCGTAACGTAAGTGTAGGGCTTTTTATTTTAAAAATAATTATGAAAAAATATGCTGTAATTGCTCACATCTTAGGCAACAAAGAAGTAAGTAAGAAGTAAAGAAGTGTGTGTTTACGCTTTATTATAATAGTATAGATGAAGTATGAAGTATGAAGTATAGATATAGATAATTAAACCTCATAAATATTATACTTTATTAACTTAATCATAATGAACAAATAGGTCAATGCTGTTCTATAAAAGTTGTTGATTCTTTAATCCTTCTGTAATCCGATTAAAGTTTTAATTAAATGCATTTTAATGACGTATTATCATTAATCTCTTGTTGTTTTTTTTAATTAAAATAGCTTTATTATTATCCCTTGAAGACAAAATATATATCGTATTTAATATGAATGGATCCGTTCCATTTTACAATAGAATTGCAACGAATTAAAGTCTTCGAAACGTACAATGTATGACAGAACAGAAATTACTATTGCGGCTTGAAATATAATTATGTTGGCTCGTTGAGGACGTATTGTGTGGTACGACTAGCACGTCAAAAGCGGTTTGTGTCCATTATACCGACTTCCGTAGCTCACCGCCTCCACACTAATTGCGAGACCAAGTGTAATGACCTAAACTTCTGCACATTGTAGCACTTTGTATACCCGATTATTAACATAGACGAATCGCACAATTGTCGATAAAATTCAGATTCCGTAATATAAAATACACAAAAAAAATATGTGTCTATGACATATAATATGTACATTTGTAAATTTTTGCCCTTTTTAAATGCGCTTGGTTAGTTGGTATAAAAAGTTTTCTTCAAACTACACAAAGTAATGACTTGAATAGTTAATGCTTTTTACCGGGCTTATAGATTTTTCTCTATAACTTTTTCAAGGTACAAAACGCAGTAATGGATTACTTTGATTCACGAGCGAATGTTAGCTCCGATAATGTCGGTCAAACATTTCACTCCTCTGTATTCATAGTTTTTATTTCGTACGGTTTTTAATATACATTATTGGCTATGCCACTAACGTACTATTTCGTGAATATTTTGTACATAAGAAGTTACATTTTAATATCTTAAATAATGTAGAGGATAGTCTGGAAGAACTCATAAGCTACTAACTTTTGTGTTTTTATTAATTCCACGCGGATGGAGTCGCGGGCGAAAGCTAAGTATAAAATATTTGACGAAACAGAGCTTTACAATTTTAATGGGTTCTCGCGAATTGAATATTTATGTTTGTAGTGAGAAATAAAGATGTTTTCTTTTTGTAGGTCCTGCCTGGGCTGTACGTTGGCAACTATCGGGACTCCAAGGACCCCGTGCAGCTCGACAAATACAAGATTACCCACATTCTATCCATACACGACGCCGCCAGAAGACTGCATTCCGTGAGTACTCACAAACGTTACCTATTTACGTTACATTTTAAGCAAAAACTAATATTTGAAGAGATATTGGTCCTTCGAGTCGGATTTGGAAAATGAAAAGTTAAATAATGTAAAATACAACATCATCTGTTGGAGAAATGGGCCAATCGAACCATGACCTCATACGACCTTATACAAAACGTGTTACTGCGTTTCATGAAATGACAGATGTTGGAGATATAATTCAAATTGAATCCAGCCACTATAATTTACTTGGACGTAGTATCACGGTAGATATCTTTTGTTATATTCACGTGTAATTTATTGCCATCTCTTGACTAGTCTTGGAGCTTGGAAGACAGCCAACTGTTTGTAGATCTAGAGGTTAGGCTTATGTTACAATTACTGTCAGGTATATCATGTAATTGTTCAAGAAAAAAAAAATAAAAAAATGTTTATGAAGTACACAACATTCATATAAAATTTACTAACAACACAAACCAAATGCTTATTCATTTAGTTTATCTAAAAAAATAATTTCTTCCGACATTTTCGTTGTGTAGCAGTTCACTTTGTGTTCGCACGGTTCTGCAAACGAGCCGTCTTCCGCATTCGCGTCCAATGATTTATTCACCGTCTCGCCATCGTGCGCTCATAAACTATGATGTCACGCAAACGTTTATTATAAATGCTTTCAGATGAAAGTAGATACTTGATTGTCACATAATATAAGATACGACTTCATCCGCATAAAAGTATAAAAATTTCTTTTTATTGTTCACATTTGTCAAATTATCAATTACAAATATCAAAATGTCATAACATAATGTCAAATCATGGCAACCTTGTTTCCTTGATGTTGGCAACCACTTATGGTCTCTTTCCCACATTAGGATTTTTATCCAAAATATTTACCCATAAGTTTAACGGCGTGAAAATATATAGCCTAAAGCGAGACGTAAGTGTAGGGCTTTTTACTACAAAAAGAGTTATTCGAAAATATGCTGTGATTGCTGACATC